AAGAACTACAGACCGATTTCCCTTCTGAGCCGCGTCTACGTGCTGTTTTCGAGAGTCATTACGAATCGTCTCGCACGCAGACTCGACGACTTCCAGCCTCCCGAACAAGCCGTTTCCGAAAAGGATTCAGTACCATAGACCACATACATACCCTTCGGCAAATTGTACAGAAGTCCGAAGAGTACAATCTGCCACTTTGCCTGGCGTATGTGGACTATGAAAAAGCCTTTGATTCCGTCGAAATTTGGGCGATGCTACAGTCTCTTCAACGGTGCCTAGTTGACTGTCGGTATATTGAAGTACTGAAGTGTTTGTACAGTAGGGCTACGATGGCTATTCGAGTACAGAACCAGAGTACGAAACCTATCCAACTGCAGAGAGGTGTAAGACAGGGTGATGTTATATCCCCGAAACTCTTCACCGCTGCTTTGGAAGACGTTTTCAAGCTACTGGACTGTAAAGGATACGGTATTAACATCAATGGCGAGTACATCACTCACCTTCGATTTGCCAACGATATAGTCCTTATGGCAGAATCGCTGGAGGACTTAAGCACTATGCTCAATGACCTCAATGGTGTCTCCCAACGGATAGCTCTGAACATGGACAAAACAATGATCATGTTTAATGTCCATGTCACACCTATGCCGGTAGTTGTTGGGAGCACTATGCTCGAAGTTGTTGACGAGTACGTTTACCTGGGACAAATAGTCCGACTAGGTAAGTCCAACTTCGACCGAGAGGTCAATCGACGGATTCAACTCGGCTGGGCAGCGTTCGGGAAATTACGACACATCTTCTTGTCAGGTATACCTCAATCTCTGAAAACTAAAGTGTATAACCAGTGCGTGTTGCCAGTGATGACTTACGGATCTGAGACGTGGTCCTTCACCGCTGGCCGTATGAGGACGCTAAAGGTCGCTCAGCGAGCTATGGAGAGGGCTATCCTCGGAGTTTCACTGCGTGATAGACTCAGAAATGAGGATATCCGCAGTAAAACCAGAGTGACCGACATAGCCCAACGGATTAGCAAGCTGAAGTGGCAATGGGCCGACCATATAGCTCGAAGAACCGATAACCGATGGGGAAGAAAGGTTCTCCAGTGGCAGCCTCGTACCGGTAGGCGTAGTGTAGGACGACCCACCACTAGATGGAGTGACGACCTGGTAAGAAAGAAGAAAGAAGAAAGAAAGACAAAATCACAATTTATCGCTGGTTTGCTGAATTTCAACGTGAACGTGTCAAGCTCAGTGATGATCCCCGTTAAGATCGTCCAAAAACTGCAGTTACCCAAGAAAACGTTGATTCTGTGCGTAAGCTGATAGAGGAAGATCAACATATGATATACCGCGAAATTGAGGCAACTTTAGACATTGGCATGAGTCAAATACAAATAATCTTGCATGAACAACTAGGTGTAAAAAAGTTGTTTTCCCGACGGATACCGCATTCTCTGTGAAGAGCAAAAAGCGGCTCACGTTACTTGGTGCGTCAGAACTCTCGAAAGATTCCACGCAGGATCCTCAAATGCTGTATACAACATCGTATTAGGTGACGAATCCTGGATATACGCGTACGAACCCGAAACAAAAAACCAGTCACGAATTTGAGTGTTCGAAAATGAGTTAAAGCCAACAAAAATTTTTCGTTCACGGAGTGTTGAAAAAAATGGTGGCCACGTTTGTCTCCAAAACCGGCCACGTTACGACTATTCCTCGTGAGGGACAAAGAACGGTTAATGCAGAATGTTATGCTAGCATTTGTTTGCCCCAGGTCGTTTCTGAACTCCGTAAAGAGAACTGCAACCGCCGCATCATCCTCCATCACGACAATGCGAGTTCTCACACAGCACACAGAACAAAAGAGTTTTTAGAGCAAGAAAACATAGAATTATTGGAACATCCGCCGTACAGCCCCGACCTAAGCCCTAATGATTTCTATACTTTCCCTAAAATAAAGAATAAATTGCGTGGACAGAAATTTTCATCACCTGAAAAGCTGTGGACACCTACAAAACGGCCATTTTGGAGACCCCAACTTCCGAATGGAAAGGTTGCTTCAATGATTGGTTCCATCGTATGGAAAAATGTGTAGACGCGGCTCAGAAGGGAAATCGGTCTGTAGTTCTTCAAGAGAGCGTTATCGCCTTTCTTAAAGAACAAGACCACCGCGCTTCTGCTCCACGCCTCCGGAGAAGTGCCACCATGGAGTACGGAATTAAGAGCTTCTGAAGGACTTCAAGTACCGGTGTTCCACCCGCTTTCAGAAGCTCCGCTGTAATTCCATCCTCGCCTGGGGCCTTGCCGTTTTTAAGGTGGTGGAGAGCCATTCTAATCTCGCTTAGACTGACGTCCGGGATATCATCGGAATAGTGTCGGATAAGACTTGCTCTTGGATCGTTACTCACACTTGCGTGTGGCTCCAACGATGATGTGTTCAGCTGCCAATAGAACCTCTCAATCTCACTCAGAATCTCAGGTGTCCCGGAAACAATGTTGCCACACACAGTCTTCAGCTTTGACAGTTGGCTCTTTCTGGCAGACAGATCTCTGGCAAAGAAAAAAAGAAAAAAGACTTTGGAGCCCTGGTTCCACTCGATCGCTTCTTTAATACGAGCAGTATTGAAGTTGCGTAAGTCTCGCCGCATGCATTTGGAGATCTGTCTGTTCAGTTGCCTGTAATGCTGTCAAATCTGTTGAGGATTGCAGCCTCATCTCCCGTCTAACAGCCATCAGATTAAGAGTGTGATCGGAGAGTTTTTGTGTTCTTCTGCTGCGGGTCTTGCAGAACTTAGCTCCGACCGCATGGACAGTTTCCACGAGCTTGTCATTCATATCGTCCACTTCATTGCAATCTTCTAGGCATTGAAAGCGGTTACGCAACTCGAGCTGAAATATTTCGGGATTCTGGATTAGAGCACGAGGGGGACGGAGCGTTGACTTCATTAGATGAGACCTCTCCAACTTAACGTTTAGGTTCAATGTGCCTCTAACCATTCAGTGATCGCTGCCAGTTTTTACCCTTGCGATCACTGAGACATCACTGAACAGTTGGCGTCTGGTCGTCATAATAAAGTCAATCTCATTTTTTGTCGAACCATCGTGGCTCTACCAGGTCCACTTCCTTTAGGGCCGCTTCTAGAAGAAAGAGTTCATCATAAAGAGTCCCTCTTTCTCCATAAAGTCGGCCAGCTGCTGGCCCCTACGGTTCCTTTGCCCTACTCCAAATTTCCCTAACTTCAGCTCACCGCTTTCTCTTGTGCCTAGTTTTGCGTTGAAGTCTCCCATCAACCTCGTGTAGTGTTGTGTGTAGTGGGTTTTGGAGGAATGCATGGCATACATTTCCTCCTCCTCATCGGGATGTGCCGAGGTTGGTGCGTAAACCTGTATGACCTTCAGCGAATACCGTTTGGTGATTCTGAGTATCAGGTACGCGACCCTCGTCGACACACTCCCAATCTTTACAACGTTGTTGACGAGAGACTTGTGGACGATAAATCCGACACCTCCTTGGGACAGATGGTCGCCCTCCCGGTGGTAGAACAAGTTGCCGGACTCGAGGATTGCCGTATCCTTCCCCTCTCATCGGACCTCGGATAATCCAATAATATGCCTACGCAACTTGTCTACCTCTTCTTCCAGCTCCAGTATCTTCTCGTCAGTCCTCAGGGTGCGTGCGTTATATGTTGCCAGGTCGAGTCGTCGTAGGTGGCAACCGAACCTCCACCGGAGATTCTTAGCACCCCCTGCCCCGCCGTTACCATGGTCGCCACCGTAGCCAGGAATAGCGGGGCCACCGGGGACTGGGGGCCGTTTTTTGCGTCGTTATTCATGGGGGGATATTTGCCATAGTTGCCACGCTTGGCGAGCGGGTTGGCAACCGCAGTTTTTTATTATATCACAGTTGTTATCAGGAAGATGCTGCTGCCCATCTCCTGCCTGTCTCCCTCTGTCGCCCTTTTATGACACTCACGGGAAGATATGGGTTAGTGGATATTCTCAACCGCCACTACACGGCATCAGAAGTGACAACAAATTATTATTTGGAATATCAATCGGGGGTAGTTGTCTATGGGTACTAACAATCAGTAGGACAGTGTGATCGTTTGTCAACCTTCTTTTTATAAAAAGAAGTTCGAGTTCAGTTTAAATTTGTGTGTGTGTGTGTTGGGTATATTTATAATTTATATTGTTAAAAATATGCAAATACCGCCATGTACGTTAATAAACCAATTGTGGTGACCAACGCTCGTGTTTCACTACATAATATATAACTGTGTGTACCTTTAATTATAATATATAAGGACAATTTGATTCATAATTTTTAATGAAAGGAAAAAAAGGCACTGTAAATAAGAGAAAGATGTTAATTGATAGAATCAGGCGTTACTTTGCGGAATTTTTTATAATAAAGATGTTTATATTTTTCGCACCTGGTACAATGATGTGTCTTACCTGGATTGAAGAGCACCTCTCGTCCTCCCTCATGTGTCTTCCCACCCTACTCCCTACATCACTACTCCCATCCACTCTGGCACCACTACTCTCAACACCACTATTCCAGGAAAGACACACCATCGACGATAATACGACACGTGATACGTGATGAAAAAGGTTATTTATATGTAATAGCCCGGGAAAAGAATGTAGTAGGCCTCTGATTGGGAAGGAAAGAGTAAGTAACCCTAAATCTTCCGTTTCTTGGCTAGGGTAGCTACTCGTACTCATTAACAGGAAAAGATAAATTTATGTAAAATCTAAATTTGCCGAGAGACAGTACTCTGCCCAATGAAGATATATTTACAATGATTTAAACAAAAAATTAAACTTTCACCGACTTAACGTGATAAATATATATATTATTTAAAAGATAAATCATATTTAACGAGATAGTTACTTTTAAAAATATGTATAATGAGAATATTTTGTGTAGCATCTAGTTATCGAGTACCTAATAAAGAATAAATAAAACTGGACCTAATAACAAAAAAAATTTTCTAGCTTGTAGAGGAGACAATGCTGGATTTCTCAATTCCTAAACTGAAAGAGCTCCGTAAAGCAATGGAGGAGCGACTGGAATTAGTCAAAGTTTCCATTAAAAATGCGACAGATGCTCAAGAGGACATGGGTAAGTAAGAGTTTATCTTTTCTCTTTTTATCAAGTATCTTGTGAGAAGTATAATAGGCTAAATGTCACAAAATATATGTGTCTTTCATAAATAATTAAAAATAGCACAATCACCACCTAGTACAGAGGTAGCATATGTTTCGTGTCGCAAGGCTAACTTGTTTTTGGGTGCACCATTCATTATTTGCTGTTGTTAATCAAAGCTATTAAAAACATTAAAGTATTGCTTTTTTTTGAAGAAATAAAATGAAACTGATAACCAAACATTTTTCAAACAGATTATTAAAAACAGGATCAGTGTCTGGACGTCTGAATTTGTTTAGCAGAACGAAGCTCATAAATGTTGGTGTAGCCCATAGACATCTCAATTTAACCTCGATTACGAATCAAAATGCGGGTGCGTTGTTACCCGTTAGGACTAAGATGGAATGCCTCATTTCCAGTAAAAAGGGTCTCCGGTTCTCTACACTCACCATACGTAACACAGCGTCTTTAAGCTGTTATTTTATGCTGGTATTCTGTGAGAGCGTGGTCCTTCCCCGTTCGAGCCGATCCATTCGTGCTACAACTATTCTACTAATACAACTGCAGTACATCTCTAGCACGTAAGCTCTACTACGCTTCCGCAGAGAACATATCGTCTGCCGAGGCAGCTAGTAGGTTTTGAAAAGTACATAGGTTGATCTTTATCCTATTGTTTTAGATGACTTAAATCGTTACTTGGACTGTGGAGTGCAAGCGCTGCCTGAAGCGATAGAGAAGACAAGAACAATGATGCAAGCTTGCCAAGAGAAAGTGAAGGCAGCCTGCGTAGAATTTCAATGGGAGAATGACAAGTCTGTTGTGCGAGATAGACAATGGCAAACGGTAAATTTTAGTTTAACTCACGAGGCTTACAAACTTTCGTATTATTCTATTGATGAGCAGATCATTATTATTATTATCATAGCCTATTAAAGTCCTCGTATGCCTCACCCATAGATCGACTCATAAAGGACCGTAGTTACTTTTGAGTTGTTATGAACAACATGGTGCTGCCCATTTCCTGTTTTAATTTTCTATTGACGCCGATTACGTACGTACGATTACCACGAGACGATATGGTGTAGTGGATTCACTTAAGCCACCACTACACCGCACGTGCAAATACTTGTAGCGTTATCATATCTTCTCACATAATCCTTTCTTAAAAAATACTCCTGTGATTAACAGGAACTACTGTCTCATTTCTCTCTGTAAATTCCTACGACACCCATGAATGATATGAGATAGTTGATTGTTTTTTGCCACTGCACGGCGTAAAATAATAAAAAACTGGGTTGTCAAGCCATCTGCCTAACGTGGCAACGATAGCAATTATCACTATTTCTGAAATGCGTTTTTCAAATATTTCGAATTTATAATTACTCTCAACGTCACCCAACGGAGAGGTTTGAAGATGAACATGGACAAAATAAAGATCATGTTTAATGTCCATGTCACACCTATGCCGGTAGTTGTTGGGAGCACTAAGCTCGAAGTTGTTGATAAGTACGTTTACCGGGGACAAGTATTCCGACAAGGTAAGTCCAACTTCGACCGAGAGGTCAATCGACGGACTCAACTCGGCTGGGCAGCGTTCGAGAAATTACGACACATCTTCTCGTCAGGTATATCCCAAACCCTGAAAACTAGATTGTAGAACCAGTGCGTGTTGCTAGTGATGTTTTGGATGGATTTGAGAAGTAGTCCTTCACTGCTGGCCATATGAGGACGCTCAATGTCGCTCAGCGAGCTAAGGAAAGGGATATGCTCGGGGTTTCTTTGACTTAGAAATGAGGATATGACCGTCATAGCCCAAAAATTAGTTAGCTGAAGTGGCAATGGGCCGGCCATGTAGTTCGAAGAACCGACAACCGATAGGGAAAATAATTTCTCGAGTGGCCGCCTCGTACCGATAGGCGTAGTGTAGGGCGACCCCCCTCTAGATGGAGTGACGACCTCGTAAGACATGCAGGAAGTCGATGGATGCAGGTGGCTCAGACCATGCTTTGTAGCATTCCTTGGGGGAGGCCTATGTTGAGTAGTGGATTTGAGAAGGGCTGTAATAATGATGATGATGAAGAAATTAGTCTATTCAACTACAAGCTCAGCAATTTTGTAGGAAGTAAAGGTAGGTGTTTTGAAATTATAATAATAACTTTAATCTAATTTTTGAAATGTCAGGCTTCATTGCCAGAAATGTGTGTCAAAATCAGAGAAATACGTCTTTTTGAATATATTCTGTATATAATATATAATAAATTCTATATTGTAGAATTTAGAAATGAGAATATCCGCAGTAGAACCAAAGTGACCGACATAGCCCAACAGATTAGTAAACTGAAGTAGACAACCGATGGGGAAAAAGTTTTCGAGAGGCAGCCTCGTACCGGTAGGCGTAGTCTAGAATGACCCTCCACTAGATGGAGTGACGACCTGGAACATGCAGGAAGTCGATGGATGCAGGTGGCTCAGGACCGTGTACATAAAGGTGTGTCAAAAATTAGAAAAATACGTCTTTTTGAGTATATTACAATCAGATTAAAGAACATTGTTAAATTTAAAATAACATAAATCAATAAAGCATAGTGTGACTTAATGTGCACAATTTTTTTTATAACAAACGCAGGTGGAATCGGTAATTGATCGATACATAGATGAAAGCGAGATAATGTTACCGGGATTGCAATATGTTGAAAATAAGCTACATTTATCTGGCGATCCGGATTTGTTGCTTTATCACACCTACCGTTATGTAAGTATTTCCTTTTTTATTACTCCGCAAAAGGCCGGACCTTTACCGTTGTATTTGATGATTTTTTATATAAGAGGGGCGTATGAGCATGCGGCTCAACTTGTGACTACTGACTACCGCCGTCCGTGAACAAATGCAGCATAATATATTCAAATAACCAAGCCCTAAAACACTTTCCTGAGCAGGTGTTAACCTTTTTATCTATTATCTTCAACGCCTGCTTCAACCTCAGTTATTTCCCCACTACGTGGAAAGAGGCAATTGTGATTGGAATTCCCAAGCCAGGCAAGCCTGTCAATCTCCCCTCCAGTCATCGCCCCATTAGCCTCCTCAAGGCAATAGGCAAGCTCTTCGAAAGAGTCATCCAAACGCGTATGAGCCGTTATCTGTTTCCCACAGACGGCGACCCTCTTATCATTCCCCATCAATTCGGCTTCCGAGCCAAACACTCATGTCCCCAACAAGTTCACCGCATTGTGGAATATATCCTCAGCGGTTTCTACCCTCGTCGTCATAAGACCATCGCGGTATTTTTCGATATAACTAAAGCTTTCGATAGAGTCTGGCACACAGGCCTCATCTACAAGCTCTACAAAATAGGTCTCCCCGATCGTCTAGTTCGTCTCGTGGCCTCCTATTTAAAACATAGTACTTTTCGTTTTAGACACGAAGGTACGCTATCTTCACAGCGAACTATCAAGGCTGGTGTCCCTCAGGGCTCAGTACTTGCTCCTCTGCTGTACATCCTGTTCACCAACGACATTCCCATCCCGTCGAAAGGTGTTCAACTCTCCCTCTTCGCAGACGACACTGCCATCTACTGCAAAGGTGTCTCACTACCCTTCATACGAAACAAGATCCAAAAGTCAGTTGATGACCTAGGAGCTTGCTACAAAAAATGGCGCATCGATGTGAACCCGGAGAAGAGCTCCGCCGTTCACTTCGATTATAAACGACGCCGTCTCAAAAACACTCCACCAATACGTATGCTAGGGACCCCTGTCCCCTGGCATACGTCCGCCAAATATTTAGGTGTCACTCTAGACACAGGGCTCACTTTCAGGCCCCACGTCAAAAGAGTAACCCGTCACGCACGGTTTTATCTGAGTAGGCTCAACAGTATGTTGGGCCGACACAGTAAAATGTCCCTTCGAAACAAGCGTACCCTTTACAAGGTCTGTATACGACCAGTCATGTCCTACGCGGGCCCCGTCTTTGCCCACGCAAACCCTAATATTTTAAATGAACTCCAAATAGTTCAGAACCTCTTCTGTCGTCGAGCTGCGAACGCACCTTGGTACGTCCATAATGCCGACCTTCATCGGGACTTAGAGCTCCCAACAATTCAACAATTTTTTTAAAAAACTCTCTGAGAACTTCTTCAAAGCCTCAGAGTCGCACCCAAACCATTTAATTCGTGAGGCAGCTTCTTATGCAGCCCCACCTCTCTCGCTATCGTGTCCGCAGGCCGAGAAACTCTCTCTCGGACCCGCCTAATAAACTGTCAACCGACCTGAACTGTCTCCTGGCGGCTCAGGCCAACTCTAATTAAATTAAATTATTGCATTAACTAACATTAATTTGCCTTCGTAGGCACTCCCTCAGCGGCTCTTAGCCGCCTGCGCCCTCTTTTCCCAAAAGAGGGTCGCTCACGATAAGGCACAATACAGCTTAATCAGCCGGCTGCCTGTCCCCAAAGGCGGTTTTTAGAGGGTATCACTTAGGGTCCCCGGTAGGACAGTAAGCACCTCATAACCACGATAGACCGGCTATCGTGGTATGCGTAATGCATTTTCCGCCTTCCTACGTATAGGGTAGCCCTTAATGGCTTCGGGCGCAAAAAAAAAATATATTCAAATCTTAATATATATATATATATATATATATATAAATTACGTGTCACGTTGTTTGTCCGCGATGGAATCCTAAACTGGCAAGCTAGTAATTTATATAGCGATAACTTAGTGATCGATGGCGATAACATAGATTTATATAACATAAAGTATTCTAGTGATAATGATGTAGAATTTTAGTACTTGATATATTCTAATGGATATAAGAAATGATTAAAAAAGTATTAAAAAATCTTTTTTATCAATACTTAAATATTTTTGACAAAATACTCATATTGTTTCAATTGTAATGTCTAATGCGATCGTTGTTCTACAGTTCTTACAATAACTTTGGCAATGACTCCGTAAGTTGAGCAAGACTATCTAATAATGAAGTTTAGCAACTTATAGTATGAATATTGATATAAATTAATAGGTTTGAATCGACGTATTTACTTGAATTCTTGTTTTATAAAGGCTCAAAAATTGCAAGAAGAACTTAAAGAAGCCGTTGCAGGAATGAAGGACAGAGTCGACCGTGCCGTGGACAGTAAGAAAATCTCATTAATTTTAGCTTTGATGCGTACATGCTTCAAAATGACCATTGTGTTTTTCGGTTGTACGTCTATGTATGTGTGTATGTGTAAGTATGTAAGTATTAAGCCCAAACACAACTGGACAAATTTTGCGATCATGCGATATATTCAATTTTAGAATGAATCATTCCGACTGTAATTCCGCTTGTTGTGATGGCGCTTACGATCATATACAATATGTAACGTAATTAACGCACACCCTCAGACACCCCAATTAGTATATTGTGTACTAATTCCGGAAGAATGTTGTGGTCACAGTACAAATCTACGAACGCAAAGACTTTAACGTGCTTGAAATAAAGATAATTTTTCTTTAATTTTATTGAATGACAGAATTAGTAATAATACGAATAAAATTGCACTCTTAAAAGTCTTATTGCCTTAAGTCCATTGCCACGGTCCATTTCAGTTTATTTCGACTGTACAGATTTAGTGTGACTGTAATTTACGTAGTTTTAATTATTTTGGGATAAAAAATTACCTATATTGAAAATGATAAGAATCGATTCAGTAAGCGGTTCTGAACAAATTACTTCCAGGATGTGCGTTAATTATGTTACATGTTGTATATTAGACGATATACGAGTAATAAATTAGTGTAACCAAAATCTCCCCGCTGCACTGACCTCTATAATATACGGACTGACTTTACACCGTGACATAATGAGGCAATTTGATTTTCCCCATTTTGTTGCTGACAGCAGAAGTGAGCGTCCACGGAACTAATAATAGAGATAAGACAGTGTGATAAAATATATCGATAAAATTTTAAACCCAGGCCTTTTCGTACCGTTCATTTCATTTATGTGTTATAATAATATAATGCTATACAATAAACAAATGTATCAATTAATACCTAGGCCTTAGACGCAAGCTTTATACCTCTTATAAAACCAAGATCGATGCTGCGTAGGTTTATCTACGTTTTTATTAGTAACTACAGAACGGATTTTGTTCCGCGTCTCAAAACTGGGTATGTTGGTTCATTCGCGAGGGTATTTTCAATTAGTACTGGAAAATATTCAACTGGTGTAAGTAACTATACTAAATAAAAATGAAAACGCAATTTTGCAAAGAATTTATTGTCAACAGTTCAATCAATTCTAGTATTATATAAAACAAATTTGCTGCTAAATTAACGCATTCTAGTATTATAGAAAACAAATTAGCTACTAATATAACGCTTAAGGCCGGTTTGCGGTTTTTCTAAGTCATTTTATCTATGAATTTATTGACATGGTTAGACAAAAATACTAAACTATAGATTTTTCCCTCAACGGGATATAGCAACAACATATAGCTATGATGTTATGTTTGTTGCGCTTTTTTATGCACTGCCAAAGACATTTTTACCGTTCGATCAGTTATTGCCGAACTCCAGGATAAAACTTTTATGAAAATCGTTGGATCTGTTTCGAGATTACACATTGCTCGTTTAAAGTTACAGGTAGACCATAATACGATTAACTTATACTAGGTGGCGGGCGTAGCTTGACAATTTATTTGAAAGTTATAGATCATTCAATTTCAATGTCTGTATTATCATTTCTAATTAAACAATATAACAGTTCTAAATTTAAAATATGTAACATTTCTACAATTATTTCTTCTGCGGCAGCAATGCTCCGGGTACCATCTAGCAAGATATAAAAAATATATAAAGTTTAAATTATATAGTTATCACTTATTTACAACTTCATTTACGAAACTCATATTATAATATTAAAAAACTATAATAAAAAAGCTAAAAACTGAAATTATCAAACAGTCAGCGGTATAGTGCCAAGAACGCTCGCTGCGTTTCCTCTCTGAAACACAGCCAGCGTTCTTATTCTTATATTTAGCCTTTGAGTGAGAAAATAAGCACCCGTCTTATCACCAGCAGCAACGATCAGTCGCGGATAGTTTGTTTAGGGACTTTGCGGTGAGCACGTAAACCCTCTCCCCAAATAGTCTCTACAGCAAATGGCACAAAGATGTACTCATCTCTCATAGATTCATATTTGGGCTACTTACTTAGTTCAGTTACCTCTGATGTCACCTCTGTTTTAAACGAGGTTCCCTAGAGATGAGAAGCTGCCAAATTGTCTTCGTTAGTAGTATCTCACACTAAGGCTTTATCTATCTCCCAAGTATACAATGTTATATCCTCGAATCTCCTGTCACCGTCTCTAAATGTTCTACAAAGCTCTAAAATCAAGGGAACAATTATAGCGGTACGAGTTCTTCAGATCTCATCGTTCAAAGAAACGTGACGGGACAACATTACATTAAATAATACCATATTACAAAAATATGGTATTAAAGTGGATTCGACCAAATACCATTTAAAACCAGAATAACTAACCCTCTAATAATTTTACTATTTCAAAGTACTGTCATATAGCTTCATTTGCGGTTTTCTATCACAAACGTGGAGTAGACAATACTAGTTATTGCTACTCTTGAATCTGAATAATAACAACAGTAACATTTGATAATTATCTGTTGTCGGTGACTTTTGTTGTTAACTGATATGGATAGAAAAGAACATCGATAAGTACTATAGCCAAGGAACACGGCAACCCTATTGAATTTTATTATTTATCAAAACTCAATAATATAAAGCCAAACATGTTGGTAATTACGGTATTAAGATTAGAAACAAATTTTAAGTAGGTACCTATAATATCAAATTGTTTAATTTTTTAAACATTAGCTTTAAATTCACTTACTCATTAATATGTTGAACTATCTCACTTTCCTTTTGTTCACAAGTTTTACAAATTACGCACACTCTCATTACTACTAAAAATAATTCTTATTATATAACTAAGATCAAACATTTTTTAACTACACAAACTACATTCATTTTTTCAAGTCAAAAGTTTAATACAGAGATACAATTAAAATAACACAATAGACTTTGGCGTATTAGTACATCAATTTTAGTTCCCGGTACGAACAATGGCGGCGCTTCAAATCGGCACAAACATTTTGTTGGGTATAATCCAGTCCATCATACTTGTATGTATAGAGTTCAATCGGCCATAATGAAATTATTAGTTGCAATTTTAAGTGTCGTTTTACCATGTATACATTGGTGACGAAGACACCGTGAGGAAACTTACATCTCTGAGGAATAAAATGAAATATTTCTAGGACATGTAAAGTCTGCTAACAAGCACTGAAGCAGCGCTGCGGACTTATTGCTCTATAAACTTCTCTAAAATGAGACGAGGTCATTGCCTATCATTTAAATACTTTTACTTTTTGATATAATTTGACGTATTATATTGTAACAGAAAAGAGCCATGGTAGCTCAGATGATTAATGTTGGTAATATAAGTGAAATTTATTGCATTGGTTTGGACTGTCTAACCTGTTATGGGGGGTGCGGATTTTGTTTATTTACTTTTTTAGTAGCGGCGGTATAAGAATATCCACTTACCCCTATATTGTACCGTGGGTGCCGTAAGAAGCGACAGAGGGAAGCTAAAACAGAAGATGGGCACCCGCCTGACAAGCATGGCAACTATGGCACAATCGTCCTAGGAGACAATCTAGTAAAATTTTATAGTCTGTTATGGTAACGGTAATGGATGGAATGGATAATGAATTATATCATAGTACACGATTCGAATACTCATATATGAGTTTTAGAATTCGCAAAGTTGTCAGACTCTAAATACTTCACACATACTTTGAGATTTTCTGAACGTTAAAACCTACTAACGTTTTGAAAAGTGAGATCTCTACAGGGAAGAACTAAGGAGAAGAAAAATTGAATAACATATGTTGTATTGTGTATTTACAAGCAGCTGCACTATCACAAGGTGAAAAAGAAACACAAAGAAGGAAATCACTTATTGAAGCTGCCATTAAACGTAAGCGAGCTGAAATGGAAAAGGAATTTAATACACGAGTATGTTATATGCATTTATCCCTTATCCTTCCTACGTTCGATTATGCTGATGTGTGTTACTTACATGCAAAAAATTACTTAGTTAATAAATTGGATCGACTTCTCAACAGCTGTACGCGTTTTGTTTTCGGTCTTCGAAAGTATGACAATGTCTCATTCTATCACTCTCAAAGATTAAATATTCTACAACGCAGGAATCTTATACTTCTTAGCACTCTTTAACGATCACTTACTATATTTAACGATCCATTGACTCAGAGTATTATAAATGTAAGTTTCAATACCTGGGTTCCCATGATTGCCATCTTCGGTCTCAAAAACTCGTACTGCGAATTCCCTCTCACCGCACTGGTTTTCTCTCAAACTCCTTCACTGTTACAGTTGTGTAACTTTGGAATGCGTTTCGCTTAGTAATGCAAAACCTGTAACAGTTGGATTTTAAAATCAAAAGTAAAAGACATGTAAATAATATTAATCACTCGAGTCTTGAAAATATCAATTATTTAACAGCCTAAAAAAACAAACATCCGTAAAGTTTTCCCGATACTTTGGTGGACGACTTATCAAAAAAACCTTTTGCCGAAAATTTTATTTTTTTGGTAATTGTAATTTTAGCTTGAAGATCAAAAGAAAAGAAATGAAACGATTTTAAAAGAGGCACTAAACAAACAATTGCAAAGACACCAAGAAATGTTGGAAAATAAATTAATGCAAAGGGAAAAAGAGGTAATACACAACTTTTTCAGATTCAGATATTCTTTTTGTGATGATGAGTGCCTCTGTGTAAAGATCTTCTACGATAACCTGGCTTGCTAAGATATCACTATAAAGGAGTTTGTAAATACACTTGTTGTGTCAGCTAAGTATAATTTGTGAATTGTGAAATGAGGTGACCGCTTTTCTTTCTTTCACTTTCCTTTCTTTTCCAATCCATACCATTCTGTTCATAATGCGAAAGAAATATATGTAATTGTTTTGTTACTGCTGTTGTGTTAACATGAATTCATGTGCGTCAAGTTGATTAATATTTTCACTAAAACGTTTAAAATCACATTGTTTTTGCAGGGCCATGTTATCGTAGGAATTTTTTTCGTGCATACACTGCATCATAACCTTATTTTTCTCGCCAAATTCCATTGGTAACACCTTTTTTGCAGCTCTTTACCTTGTACAAACAGCTTTCTACAAAAAAGCCATAGACATGTTACTTCTACGGCTACTTTTTTATCCTGGTTCCCCATAAAGTTCAAACCTCAACATAGTTCTGGCTGTACTGCTGATAAATATCTCATATATTTTCTACCGAGAGCTTCTATCTGCTTGGGTTCGAGTTATTTTTGTATATTATATAATCGTTGGCGTGTCTGTTAATATTCGTGTAACGTCCGAAAAACTTGATCAATTGTGATCAATTTTACACAATGTACTTAGTTATATTAAGATAACAGTTTATAGCTTTGCTATGATTCGATAGGTGGCGCTGTAGTCAAGTTATTTTTTTTAGTTAAGCATCAAAATGACATAAAATCATATATTCACAATATATTGTTTTATGACCAAAAAATAATTTTACAAAATCTAAACCTGGGCGTTGACATTCAGTTATTACAAAATTTTATATCAACCATGTACAAGGTCCGGAGCGTACTTGCGCCACCTACCTAAAAGGACGGAACAACGTATGCCGAGGTAGCTAGTGTATTTATTTAAAATTGATAGAATTCCTTTTTGATCAAGAAGTCTGTGTGTAAAGTATGTACAATCTTCAGTTCAGTTCATCTTTATCCTCAAAAATTAATTTCATTGAATTATATATTACTAGCGTAAGGACCGGGCCGACCGAACAACTAAAACGGACCAGTGTACGTTAGTAAAATGTAATTTTAGGGCCAACGCGAATCGGTCGACAGTGGTGCGCGCGCAGGACAGATTTGATTTTTTGACAGATTGCCTGTCACAAATATGTCTAGTTGCGTGGTAAAAGAATGCAAAATTACGATGCAAAGATTTAAAAGAATCATGGGATATCGTGTCATCGGTAAATAACTTTATATTTATTTTGTTACAATTAAATTATTATATAGACGCATTTTTAACGTTTTATTTTACATTTAGTTTCGTTACGTTACCAAGATTAGGCCAGGGCTGGATTTCGCCGCTCAAAAATATTGTACATGGAAAATAAAATTATACTATTTAAAAAAATTATATCACGTTTGACGTTTCATGTTTCTTTTTAATCGATTGAACAGAAAGGAAGCTAATTCTAATTTTATTAAAAAAAAACGTGGTACTCTGTATGTACAATACAGAAATTCTCGACATCGTAGGGTTAATATTAAAATGTAAAAGGACCCAATAATAATACAAGTCGACCTTTAGCTAAAATTATGGTATTTTCGCTTAGCATTGTTACGATACAATGTACTACAAACTATGAAATAATGATACAATTAGGATAATTATACTACGAAATCCGACCTTGGTTACGTGGTGTTTTGATATGACGTTTGTATTATGAAAGATGCGCTACTTTAAAGTTTAAAGTTATGAGTAAAATATTTAGATGGGCCTATCCTTCCTTTTGAAATCATTGATTTATTTGCGATCTTTTTGTTTGAAGTTGGCTGTAGATGACCATGGGCAGTAGTAAAAATCAACCAGATGTTAAGTTTGTTTGTCACTCTAATATTTACATCAGCGCCATCTATAATGTCTAGATTGTAACTATTGATGTGAATTTTGGTTCATTTATATTGAATTTAAGAATAACTTGACTACAGCGCTATCTGACCTTAGTTAAGCTATTGATCACCTCGACAAAAATACATTGTGTGAATACTACAAAACTTACTAACAAACCCATAAAAGATTATTATATTAATGTTCTCCAGACCCAATGACGGTCATGGCGACCAGCCTTGACGGAAAATAGCCATCTGCGCAGTGCAGGATCATAGTTCACGAATTTGTGTGCAAACGCAGGTGCACTCTCTCATCCGTCACTCACACAGTCTGATGGGGCGATACGTGTTTGCCGAGGCGTGAAGGTAAAACAATGCCTGTTGCTGTGAATCGGTTACCGAGTATTTCTTGACAGAAAAATTCAAACACTCATTTTAGCCCGACCCGGGATTTGAACTATGATCTGCATTCGCGCTCACGACCATTAAGAAGGCAGAATAACGAGCCAGTCAAACCATCAAATATTATTACATAAACAAAACATCTTATGTTATACCTATTAAAATGGATGTAAAATAAAGAAACCCTTGCTTGTCTCAAAAAAAAAACTGCATATAATATAAAAGGTTATTAAACACCATTTTCGAATTTTTCAGAATACTCGTAAACTTAACAAAATGGTTGCCGAGAAAGTGGCGTCAGAGAAACGAATTTTCGCGAAACAACTATCTGAAATGACTTTCAAAGTGAAAAAATTAGAGGATAAGCTTAATGGTGCGTTATATTTTTGAAATTATCATCACCATCATCACCATCATCATTACACTCCACATCAAAGCTGCTGAACATAGACCTCCAGCAAGAAATGTCACAAAGCACGGTCCTGAGTCATTTACAAATTTCACAAATTATACAAAATTTTAAACCAAAAATCGCAAAAAGGTTTAATTATTTAACATATATTTCATAGTTACAACATCGTATGAAATTATCTCAAGTATCGTTGTTAAATGACATTGCAAAGCTAATGCAAGTGTGCAAAAAATTTAAGGTGTATAACAGTTCAAAATTTTTTCGTAAAATCCATTTTTTTGTAACGCAATATGACATATGTGCCGTGTAGTGGCGGTTAGGAATATCCACTACCCCATATCTTCCCGTGGGTGTCGTAAAAGGCGACAGAGGGAAACAGGCAGGAGATGGGCAGCAGCATCTTCCTGATAACAGCAACTGTACGACAAAAAAACGCGGTTGCCAACCCGCTCCAAGCGTGGAATTGGAATTTCGGTTGCCATTGAGACTCTGCAAACCACCCTGGGTGGAGAGGGGTGGAGAAGAGATGACAAGTTTCTGTGGCCGAAGGGAGGGGAGGACACGGTGATTCTCGAATCCGGCAACTTGTTCTATCACCGGGAGGGAAACCATCTGTCCCAAGGAGGTGTCGGATTTATCTTCCACAAGTCTCTCGTCAACAACGTTATAAAGATTGGGAGTGTGTCGACGAGGGTTGCGTACCTGATACTCAGAATCACCAAACGGTATTCGCTGAAGGTCATACAAGTTTATGCACCAACCTCGGCACATCCCGATGAGGAGGTGGAGGAAATGTATGAGGATATTTCCAAAGCCATGCATTCCTCCAAAACTCACTACACGGTGTTGATGGGAGACTTCAACGCAAAACTAGGCACAAGAGAAAACGGTGAGCTGAAATTAGGGAAATTTGGAGTAGGGCAACGGAACCGAAGGGGCCAGCAGCTGGCCGACTTATGGAGAAAGAGGGACTCTTTATGATGAACTCTTTCTTTCCAGAAGCGGCCCCACAGGAAGTGGACCTGGTGGAGATCCGACGGTTCGACAAAAAATGAGATTGACTTCATTATGACGACCAGACGCCAACTGTTCTGATTTCAACGTGATCGCAAGGGTGAAAACTGGCAGCGATCACTGAGTGGTTAGAGGCACACTGAACCTTACTAACGTTAAGTTGGAGAGGTCTCGTCTAATGAAGTCAACGCTCCGTCCCCCCTCGTGCTCTAATCCAGAATCCCGAAATTTCAGCTCGAGTTACGTAACCGCTTTCAGTGCCTACAAGATTGCAATGCAGTGGACGATATGAATGACAAGCTCGTGGAAACTGTCCATGCGGTCTGAGCTTAGTTCTGCAAGACCCGCCGCAGAAGAACACAAAAACTCTCCGATCACACTCTTAATCTCATGGCTGTTTGACGGGAGATGAGACTGCAATCGTCAACAGATTTGACATGCTCCAAATTTAATACTGCTCGTATTGAAGAAGCGATTGAGCGGAACCAGGGCTCCAAAGTCTTTGCCAGAGATCTGTCTGCCAGTAAGAGCCAACTGTCAAGGCTGAAGACTGAGTGTGGCAGCATCGTTTCCGGGACACCTGAGATTTTGAGTGAGATTGAGAGGTTCTATGGGCAGCTGTACACATCATCGTTGGAGCCGCACGCATGTGTGAGTAACGATCCAAGAGCAAGTCTTATCCGACACTATTCCAATGATATCCCGGACGTCAGTCTAAGCGAGATTAGAATGGCTCTCCAGCACCTTAAAACGGCAGGGCCCCAGGCGAGGATGGAATTACAGCGGAGCTTCTGAAAGCGGGTGGAACACCGGTACTTGAAGTCCTTCAGAAGCTCTTCAATTCCGTCCTCCATGGTGGCACTACTCCAGAGGCGTGGAACAGAAGTGCGGTGGTCTTGTTCTTTAAGAAAGGCGACAACGCTCTCTTGAAGAACTACAGACCGATTTCCCTTCTGAGCCGCGTCTACGTGCTGTTTTCGAGAGTCATTACGAATCGTCTCGCACGCAGACTCGACGACTTCCAGCCTCCCGAACAAGCCGGTTTCCGAAAAGGCTTCGGTACCATAGACCACATACATACCCTGCGGCAGTTTGTACAGAAGACTGAAGAGTACAATCTGCCACTTTGCCTGGCGTATGTGGACTATGAGAAAGCCTTTGATTCCGTCGAAATTTGGGCGGTGCTACAGTCCCTTTAGCGGTGCCAAGTTGACTGTCGGTATGTCGAAGTGCTGTAGTGTTTGTACAGTAGGGCTACGATGGCTATCCGAGTACAGAACCAGAGCTCGAAACCTATCCAACTGCAGAGAGGTGTAAGACAGGGTGACGTTATATCCCCGAAACTCTTCACCGCTGCTTTGGAAGACGTTTTCAAGCTACTGGACTGGAAAGGATACGGTATTAACATCAATGGCGAGTACCTCACTCACCTTCGATTTGCCGACGATATAGTCCTTATGGCAGAATCGCTGGAGGACCTTAGCACTATGCTCAATGACCTCAATAAAGTCTCCCAACGGATAGGTCTTAAGATCAACATGGACAAAACAAAGATCATGTTTAATGTCCATGTCACACCTATGCCGGTAGTTGTTGGGAGCACTATGCTCGAAGTTGTTGACGAGTACGTTTACCTGGGACAAATAGTCTGACTAAGGTAAGTCCAACTTCGACCGAGAGGTCAATCGACGGATTTAACTCAGCTGGGCAGCGTTCGGGAAATTACGACACATCTTCTCGTCAGGTATACCTCAAAATCTGAAAACTAAATTGTACAACCAGTGCGTGTTGCCAGTGATGACTTATGGATCTGAGACGTGGTCCTTCACTGCTGGCCGTATGAGGACGCTCAAGGTCGCTCAGCGAGCTATGGAGAGGGCTATGCTCGGAGTTTCTCTGCGTGATAGACTCAGAAATGAGGATATCCGCAGTAAAACCAGAGTGACCGACATAGCCCAACGGATTAGTAAGCTGAAGTGGCAATGGGCCGGCCATATAGCTCGAAGAACCGATAACCGATGGGGAAGAAAGGTTCTCGAGTGGCAGCATTGTACCGGTAGGCGTATTGTAGGGCGACCCCCACTAGATGGACTGACGACCTGGTAAGATATGCAGGAAGTCGATGGATGCAGGTGGCTCAGGACCGTGCTTTGTGGCATTACTTGGGGGAGGCCTATGTTCAGCAATGGACTTGTGAAGGGTTGTAATGATGATGATGATGAATATGACATGCCTTTCGTCATGTATACATGATCGTTTATTTGTAATCGCTAAAGCAAATAACACGCAAACTATGTGCACATGTATGCATGATAGTCTTCGGATTAGTATATCATGCCAAACAATTTGTTCCGAAGAAACGTTGGTAATTGATATGACGAGTGCACCTCAAGGCCACACAAACCGATGACGTCATTGTAGACGCTGGCGAATATGGGTAACATTCTTAAAATGATAAGGAACATTTATTGTTATTAATTGATACTAGTAACAACAAGAGTTTTGTACAATATATAAATGTGCAATTGTCCCGAATTTCAAGGCATGGAAATAAGGGCATGCATTTTTTTATAGAATAAGGGTGACAAACGAGCACACAGTACACATGATGGTAAGTGGATGTTGTATCCCATAGACATCAACCTTTATCTTCAATTAAAAATCAAAATCCAGATAAGTTGAAACGGTTTTACTTTTGTATCCCGTCGTCATATTTATTAATTATCTGGTGAAATATGTAATTTGGTATTCATTTCCCTTTTTTTTCTCGTAAAGCTCATTTGAAGGCTGAAAAAGAGTCGAGGCGATCACAGGATTTGTGGACAGCGGGCGCATCGCTCTTGGCCGCCACTAAAAAAGGATACCCATGTGTCAGAGTTGATAAGGAATTAAAGGCGATACAAAAAGCATCTGGTACGATTTACATCTTCGTCTTATCTTTCTCTTACCTATACTTGTCGTTTCGTGAATTTTAATAAAATAATAACGGTTTCAATTTCCTTGGGAAATGAAGGCAACTATATGGCTATTCTCCATCTAGTGGAGGGTCGCCCTACACTACGCCTACCGGTACGAGGCTGCTACTCGAAAACCTTTCTTCCCATCGGTTATCGGTTCTTCGAGCTATATGGCCCGCCCATTGCCACTTCAGCTTGAAGTGACGACCTGGTAAGACATGCAGGAAGTCGATGGATGCAGATGGCTCAGGACCGTGCTATGTGGCATTACTTGAGGAGGCCTATGTTCAGCAGTGGACTTGTGAAAGGCTGTAATGATGATGATAATGATATGGTTATTCTGATACCATTGAATTTTCATAAAATAATAACGGTTTCAATTTCCTTGGGAAAATGTAGGCAACTATATGGCTATTCTGTATACCATATAGTTGTCTCCTAGTCAATCAGAACCATATTAGGGGATAAGCGCCTGCCGAAAATTTCGTTTCACGTGCTTGGCGTTGAAGAAAAGAATCACGAGGAAAATATAACAATGCTCTCAGAAATGAGAGGTAACCTATAGGAGTACGAATTTATGCTATTATTTCGTATGTAGCGTAAAATTTTAAAATAGCTTTTCTTATATCCTGATAGCCTATTTTCATAAAATATTAAAAGAGTTGTGACTGGTTTTTAGTTTGTGGTAAAAAAATGTATGTTGCCAAAATATCTTGAGAATGCCTTGACAAAATGATTTAATTTATGCATTAGCATTAGCTCATTCTATTTATCATCATTATACTCTAGCAACACTGATGACTGTATCATCAGTGTTGCTAGTGTACCAAGAAGTACTTTTAACATTTTTAATTTTTTTTTATGATTAATAATTTATTCTTGTATTGATTGACGGTAAGTGTAGATAAATGTGATTAAATAATTACTTACTGTCCAGTCAGTTGGTCTGTGAGTATGTGTCTTAACATCTTAACAAAAGTTTTTACTCAATCTTTGGATGACGCCTATTAAAATTAATTAAGGAAAACTTTATTACTCACGAAATATTAACAAAAGTCGATGAAATTTTTTTAAACTAATGTTTTATGAAACTACCATTAATGTCGTAATTAATGAAGCCGAAACCATGCTCAACTTATTGTACATACACTCACATCACATCTCATCGCATTTGAAACCAAAAACATGATTATTTTGCGTCCTGTAGTGGGCTTTAACGAGTTTTTAAAGAAAGTCAGAAGAATGGTGTGTGTGTGTGTGTGTGTGTGTGTGTGTGTGTGTGTGTGTGTGTGTGTGTGTGTGTGTGTGTGTGTGTGTGTGTATGTGTGTGTGTGTGTGTGTGTGTGTGTGTTATTTTTTGTGTGTGTCTCAGTGCGTCTAAAGAAGTTGAGCATGGTTTCGGCATCACTAGAAATGCAAATAAGAGTTCCGTGTATCTTCCTTTATTGGTCTGAGCATCAATCTTATTATATTAATTAGGAGGCGAAGATAAGCTTGTGACAACTGTGTTGAAAGCCATACCTGTATCTGTATGGGATGAAGGAGTAGTCCCAGAAAGTGTCCTCAAACAAAACTATTATCAGGTATTTAATCACTGTCTTGAAAGTTATATACATTTATTTCGTTCTTAATAGCGTTATGGATAAATCAGAAAACAAATTGTATCTATAATTTAAGTACATTGATGTAAAATATTGTTTTGAAATTTTATACGTGGTAGAGCCATGCTGCAGTAGTATTAGTAGTGTTACGAGCTTGCGGTTCGTGACAATAAAAATTGCCGATAAAATTACCTAAATTGACACTTTAATTTACTTTACACAGATTAAAACTAAAAACACTAATAATTAAACACACTAATTCACTTAATTCCGCTCCGAAGCTTCGCTTGTGTCGCCGAGTTCAACTCTGCCCGATCGCATCTTGCAGCGCCTACTTATATAAATTAGCAAAATATCCAGAATGTTCAAGTAAACACGCGCAAGGTACCGAGAGTTCGAGTTTTAAACTTCAAGAAGTTTAGTTCTTTGGTTCGAGACTAGATGGCGCTAGTGCGCCGATTTTAGCGCGTAACACTGCCCCCTCCTAAGACATGCTCGTCTCGAGCATTATCGGTCCCATAATAACGCGCTAGGCGATCCACATGGACGATCTTAGGAGTCCCTCTTGCGCCTTTCTGTAATGGCTCCGCAATGTCAAGGGATGTCCTATCCCGTGGTGCACCAACATTGTACAATTTCGATGCTCCTCTACTCCATGTCTGAGGTCCCCTCACAGCCGCACAACTTGTACATGTACGACACCAATCCTCGACATCGTCACGATAATGGACCCAGAAAAACTGTTCTCGGACCTTCAGTAGAGTTCGTTTAACTCCCAGATGGACTCTTGAACGACCATTATGGCACAGTTGTAGAACATTCGGCACTTTAGCTTTAGGGACGACCATTTGCAGACGACAGCTGTCTCCTCGACCATTGTCCCATTTACGGCACAGGACTCCATCCTGAAGCAGCAAGGTGCCCCATTGGGCCCAATAGCTTTTCGTGGTTGAACTCATCGCTGAGACGTCCTTCCACTTAGGCTTGGTAGCACGGGCCTTCATCCATCCCAGAATCGGCTTGATGTCCGGATCTTCCTGCTGTGCATGTCGTAGGCTGTCCTTCCACCCGTTGCTGAGGTGGTCTGTTCTGAGCATCCTCACGGATACCACTTCCTTACCTTGCCTACTACAATGGTTGCAATCTTCAGGACAAGGTCTTGTCAATGCATCTGCGTTGCCGTGAGATTTCCCGCTGCAGTGTCTGATAGTAAAGTCGTATTCCTGCTGCTGCTGGGCGGTGTTGTTAGCCGCACTTCTTTTCTGAGACCGTTCACCTTCCCTTCCTAGGGTGTGCTTAGGGCAGCTGGACCGAAGATGGCCCCTTTCCCCACAGCCATAGCACCTAGGGCTGTATCTTTTATTGTGGTCGCGAACCGTACCTGCTGTACCCTCCCTAGCGTGAGGTGAACGATGATCCTGTCGCCGCCAGGCAGTGCCGTTAGCTGTACTACACTCTCGAGATCGATCAACTCTCCTTTCCACGGTTAGTTTAGGGCATCTGGATCGAAGATGGCCCTTTTCCCCACAGCCATAGCACCTAGGGCTGTATCCTTTGCTGCGGTCACGGACTGTAGTTGCTGCAACCTCCCTGACGCGATGGGAACGATGATCCTGCCGCACGGCTTCCACCTCCAGTGCATGGGCCAAGGCGTTCTTAAGCGTCTCGTGGTGCCCGAGCCTCACAGCAGCTCTGACTTATAGGTCACGGATGCCGTCGATGAATGTCTGCACCAGGTTCCTTTCAATGAGCGCAGGTACAGACCGGTATGCTTTTCGCACCAGCTTCTCCACCTCTAGAGCCCACTGCTGCAGGTTTTCGTTGATGCGCTGCACGCGATCTTTAAGCTGCGCACGAAAGACGTGTTCCAGGTGAGCGTCGCCATATCTCACCTCCAATGCCTCAAGGAGCTGCTCGTAGGTCACTTTCTTACCGAGAGCTTCCAACACGGTTAAGGCTTGGTCGCGCAGGCCTAAGGTGTGTGCAGTCATGGCCTGGCTTTTATTCCAGCCGTTCGCCTTCATAACAGCCTCGAACTGGATTTTGTAGGCTGACCAGGAAGAGGTACCGTCGAACGGTGGCACCTTGAACCCACGTAGCGAAGGTGTTGTAGCTACTACGGGAGCTGTAGCTCCATCTCCAAGTTTGAGTTCGTCCAGTGATTTCTTCATGTCAGCCATTACGTTGTCAACCCGATTGTTTACTTGGTCGATTCGGGTTTCAGTTTTCGCGATTTGGGTTTCAGCTTGCGACAGGCGTTTGTCATGCTGAGCAACCCTATCCTTCACCTCCTTTATCTCCTTCCCGAAGGTAGCGTGAAGGTCCTTCATGAGGAGCATCTGTTCCTCCTGTCGGCGGGCCTGTTCCTCTTGTCCGCTCTGCAGCTGCTCTTTCGACTGACGGACCTGTTCCTCCTGTCGGCGAGCCTGCTCCTCCTGTCGGCGAGCCTGCTCCTCCTGTCGGCGAGCCTGCTCCTGCAGCATCACCATCAGAGCACCTAAGTCAGGTGCTGCAGATGTAGGAGCTACCGACGGGCCTGCAGCCGTTGGCTGGCCCTCCGACGTCTGCAGCGTTGCACCAGCAAATCTTCGTTGGTCCGTCTCCTGCTGGCGTTGACTTCGGGTACGGACACCCTCCGTTTCCTCCTTAGGTAAAATCGGCATTATTTTATCCCACTTCTGACACCAATTGTTACGAGCTTGCGGTTCGTGACAATAAAAATTGTCGATAAAATTACCTAAATTAACACTTTAATTTACTTTACACAAATTAAAACTAAAAACACTAATAATTAAACACACTAATTCACTTAATTCCGCTCCGAAGCTTCGCTTGTGTCGCCGAGTTCAACTCTGCCCGATCGCATCTTGCAGCGCCTACTTATATAAATTAGCAAAATATCCAAAATGTTCAAGTAAACACGCGCAAGGTACCGAGAGTTCGAGTTTTAAACTTCAAGAAGTTTAATTCTTTGGTTCGAGACTAGATGGCGCTAGTGCGCCGATTTTAGCGCGTAACAGTAGTATAGTTGTAGCACGAATGCGTCGGCTCGACCGGGGAAGGACCACGCTCTCACAGAATACCAGCGTGAAATAGTAGCTTAATGCTGCTGTGTTTCGTATGGTGAGTGTAGAGAATCGGAGACCCTTTTTACTGGAAACGAGGCATTCCATCTTAGTCCTCACGGGTGACAACGCATCTGCATTTTGATTTGCAATCGAAGATAGATGTAGATGTCTATGGGCCCCAGCAACCACTTACCATCAGGTGGACTGTGTGCTCGTTTGTCACCCTATCCTATAAAAAAAGTCTCCAGTCCAGTCAGAAACTTACAAGTACATAAATAATATCAGGTTTAAATTTTTGAAGTGGCGTCGTTTACAATTAATATACTCATCATACTATATATACTTCTTTAGAATCTCTTTTAGTTTTACAATGCGTGGCCTGGTCAGTACAGATGTGTAATAAAAATTTCAGATGGAAAAAACGGTTTTGAAAGTGGCGTTGGTTGAACAAGACGGTTCTCCGTTGCCAATATACTTCCTTTCGTGGCTACAATCTGCTTTGTTATTTTTTAAGGTATGTTATAACACCAGCGCTCTGTATATTGCATACATCCAAAATATAACGATTTACCACGTGTTCGGCGGTAAAGGAAAACATCGGGAGGAAACCGGCATAACTGATAAATAAGAAAAAAATATTTCGAAGACATGTAAAGATCGCCAACACGCATTGGGGTAGCGCTTCAGACATTTCCTTGCCCCAAAACCCTCTCAAAACTGAGAGGAGGTCTGTACCCAGCAGTGGGTGTATATAGGCTGTAACTTTAACTTTAAATGTAACGAGGACAGTTTCAAGATATGGATTTCTTTATTGGAAGGAAAAGCCGTATATACTACAAAGTTGATTTAATTTAAATTACAAAATTGTACTTAAGTTAATTTAACTTATTATACAGTTTATTATAATAAATTAACTACAGTAGTATCAACATTTATAAACAGATTAAAATTCATAAAAATAGTTTTATTTAGTTTCGATATGGGAAAACAATTGTGGTGTAAGTAAGCAAAATACAGAAAATGACTGTAATATTAACTTTAAAATAAAAAAATAAAAATTGCTCGTCTGGTCTCGTGTTTCAGGTATGATTAATTGCTTGCAGGTCAAAGTTAGATAATTCTACATTGTGTTTATATTTTTTAAACAGCTAAAGAACCATTACAATTTGACTATAAATACACTTACATCTTCCGTATAAAAAAATCAAGGCTACCTATATACCAAAATGCTATTTTAGGGTTTGCGTTTGTCGAGATTAGTTTATTTTCAGCAATTTTTACGGGTTTAATTTTTTTGTTTTCTTACTTAGAGCACATGAAAGTAAATAAACCGCTAAAAGGCAAAGCTGCACACAGCCGCGCTATGATGTACACTACTACAAGCTTAAGTTTCAAGTTTGGTTTAAAAATAACAAATGATGATTTATATTTACTCGAACACTACACATTGAATAAAACTATTTTTACAGATATAATCGAGTCTAATATACTTATTTTTAATTCCTGACGTTATTAAATTAAATAAGTAAATTAAACGTGAATAAATCCGTAAAGAGTTTCATTCAATAACAAATGAGTAAAGAATGGTTTAGTGTACTGTGTGTATACAATAATAGAATTTATATAAAGTTAATAATAATGTTCTCCCGACCGAATTTCGGCCACGGCGGCCTGCCTCAACAGAGGCTAGCCATCGGCGCAGGACAGGATTATAGTGCCCAAGTGTATGCGCAAGCACAGGTGCACTCTCTATTCCCTCGCTCTCATAATCCGATGGGACGGTAAACCGGCACGACCGGAGAGAGATCAGGCGCAGGAGGAGCAACGGCTTTACGTGCTTTCCGAGGCACGGGGGTGAGACACCGCCAACTTCCTGACTCCGAGCAACTACTGAGAATTTCTTGACGGAAAAACTCAATAATTAATTTTTGGCCCGACCCGGGATTCGAACCCAGGACCTCATGATCAGCAGTCGCACTACTACAACCACTAGACCAACGTGGCAGTCATATACATACATATAATACGTATTATTAATAGTTTATGCAATAATATTGTAACTTGTTCAAAGCAAATAAAGTTAGTAAAAATGTATTATTTTTTAATTATCCCATAGATTCCACTAAGTATTACTTGATTATTATTTATATTTTTTAATATCGTAGATAGATATCTCATACATATACGTTAACATAATTTATTGTACATATTTGTTGAATTGCTTCAGCAAAAATTTCCCTGGTATTTTGATTTCGATATATTGTATTTGTAATGTAAACGTTTGCAAGCTTTTATATGCCATGCCTTTTTTAGGATTATTTGAGAAAGAAACTTTTTATTAAATTTTATAATTTACCATTCATTCAACAAAGCAGAAAAAATTATTCAACAAGAAATATGAAAATAAAATATTTAGAGTAAACTAATAAACATTTTGTTTATTTAATATTATCCTCTTGTGTCAACCCTACCAAAATAGGGAAAAATTTTGAACGCTCCTTAGCTTTGCCTCAAGTCGGTTTCTTTACTTATGTGCTTAGAGTAAACGTATGTACCATAGAATACTATAAGACACAATAGAATGGCTGTCAACTTTATTTTGTACGAGGTTTGGCGTCGCCAAACCCGATTCGCTGTGTTGACAGACTGAATAAATTGACACATTTTAGAATTTTGAATAGGGTTCAAGGTCATAATTAAAAAAAATCGTTAAAATTTTAGTAAATATTTATTTGTAAATAGGGTGCAATTTGGCATTTTTTAATTAACTTGCATGCGAAATTTGGAAACGATTGTAACGTCAAAACACATCTCGTGTTGACATTTATACGTGTGAATTGACATGTTAGTGGCTACGCGGGCTCCGCCCACTCCCCCGTTCTATTATATATGTATTATAGTATTCTATAGTATGTACGAACGTATATATGTAACGTTTTCAGTTTAAAAATTTAAATTAATACATTTCGTGTCTATTTAGTTTTATTCATTATTTTTGTTCCTTTTTTTTATTGTGGTGGACTTCACGGTTTTTCTTTTTAAGTTTTTTTTTGTTTAAAAAATATATTATTTCACCTAAACATTATGTTACTGAATCAAAGATTTATAGATCTTAACATAAATATTATAATTTAAACTTACATGTGTTTGTATGATATGTATCGACAACTCAACGTTTCGCTTATTTAGTTACAGGGTTATTTTAGGTCAGTGATTTGAAAATCTTCCTGATCTATGTAGTAAAATTCATACTTAGTAATATTGGGTAAAAGGATTTTAATCCAAAGTATGACCAGAAGTCAGTTGTTCCGCTCTGTTGAATATATGTTATATATTCGCGCTAATATAAGAAAATATTAAGTTAAACATTTTAAGATACATCGCACGAAGATACTATGAATGCATACTGCATTATAAGCGTAGGTATGAAGGTTTTGAATGTGCCGTTGGTGTAGGGGTTGTAAGCACATCTACTGATCGTGTGGTCTCGTGTTTAAATCCCATCCGTCGGTGTATAAAAATCATTTACTGGTTTTGTATGTCTAGAAGTTCTAAGTAGTAGCCCGGTATTAGTTAGTTGACGGTATTTAACCCCAGTGCTGTAAAAAGCACGAAAAGCCTTGGTCCGTTGCGTCGAATTTCCGTTCCATCGGATTATGTGAGTAAAGAAGTTAGGAGTGCATCTGTGTTTAAGTACACTCTCATTTACTATAATCCTGTTCTGCGGAGATAACTAGTCTCTCTCTCTATCTCTTTCTGCGAACTAATGTCGATTATATCGGGCACGCTGTGAACGAAATTTGGTCTGGTCATAATTATTATGACAATTTTTGAATGTTACTAACGCAAGCTTGAGAAACAACTTTAGCAAAAAAGGTGTAATTTAAAGTTTCACTTACAGGTTTCAAGTATACCTCAAGCTGAAATAGATAAACCACCAAAAGAACCTTCGGAAGACTTGGACACGTTTGATTTGATGCAGAGAGCTCGGTAATGGAAACAAGAATCACCACTTTGAAATGTGGATAAGTTCAAATCTAAATAAAATTGTGTTTAGTTTTTGGCTAGAAAAGGGAAATCTCGCAATGGCGATTCAATACGTGAGATCATTAGAAGGAGCATCCCGTGTTGCTGCTGAATCATGGTTGAAGGCGGCGCGGACACATCTCGAGATCCGACAGGCTGCAGAAGCAATCATCGCACATGCAGCTGCTTTAGGCCTTCAATATATTTGAGAAATGTATCAATCGTGTGAAGGTATTTAGAGGAATTTACTACCTTTTATTCAAGTGCTAATATGCATTCGAAAATCTCGATTTTAAGCCTATAAACTGGAAGTAGTAATACGATACGAGGCAGTCAAAGGTCATAAGTTCGGCTGCTCTGAGTACATCTTCTTATTAAATCATCAAAATTATAGCTCTTCATAAGTTTACTGCTGAACCTGGAGCCCTTCCAAGCAGTGAAACGTCCATCGACTTCCTGCATTTCTTACTAAGTTGTAACTCCGTATAAAACACGCCGTCATACACTCCGCGTACTGCTACTAGGCTATCACTTACGAACCTTTTGAGGTGGGATTAGGTTATATTTCTTCTTGAGGCCGAAATATATTATTATGTGCTTTCACGAGAAATTAGTAATTTAGACAATATTATATTTAAAAGTGCATTCTAAAGGCTGATAAAGAATGTCGAACAAACATTTTAATTTTATTTCACCAATAACGCAGTAGACCATGCTATGGTTGGTTTACTTCGTTTAAGTAGATCTGATTACGTCGTGGTGCAGCTATATAATGACATCGGCGCGAGTGAGTAGGTTCAACCTGGGAAAAACTGCTGACCCTGGTAACGACGCATTCCATCTTAGCTGACAACATATCGGCATTTTGATTGTCAATAGAGAATAAATGTATGTGGCTATGGGCCACAGCAACCACTTACAATCAAAGGTGCAATGTTTGTCAAATTTTTTATCTAAATATTCTCACAGCCTGGTTGGCACAATAGACCACATTCACGCAGTACGGCAGATACTACAGAAAATACCAGAACGAACGGTGAGAACATCTCACCCGAAACTCTTCAACGATGCATTGAAAGACGTTTCCAAGCTTTTGGATTAAAAAGGATACGGTATTTAACATCAATAGCGAGTACATCACTCAACTTCGATTTGCCGATGATATAGTCCTTATAACAGAATCGCTGCAGGACCTAAGCACTATGCTCAGTGACCTCAGGAGTGTCTCCCAACATATTGGTCTTAAGATGAACATGGACGAAATAAAAGTCAAGTGTAATGTCCATGTCACACCTATGCCGGTGGTTGTTGAGAGCACTAAGCTCGAAGTTGTTGATGAGTATGTTTACCTGGGACAAATAGTTCGACTGGGTGATTCCAACTTCGACCGAGAGGTCAATCGATGGATTCATCTCTGCTGGGCACCGTTCGGGAGATTATGGCACATCTTCTCGTCAGGTATACCTCAAAACCTGAAAACTAAGTTGTACCAACCAGGGCGTGTTGCCAGTGATGACCTATGGATCTAAGACGTGGTCGCTTACTGCTGGCCGTATGAGGAAGCTCAATGTCGCTCAGCGAGTTATGGAGAGGGCTATGCTCGGGGTTTCTCTGAATGATAAACTTAGGAATGAGGATATCCGCAGTAGAACCAAAGTGACCGACATAGCCCAACAGATTAGTAAGCTGAAATGGTAATGGGCCGGCCATATAGCTCAAGTAATCGATAGCTGATGAGAAAGCATGGTTCTCGAGTGGCAACCACGTACCTGCAGGCGAAGTGTAGGGTGTCTCCCCGCTAGATAGAGTAACGACCTGGTAAGACATGCAGGAAATCGATGGATGCAGGTGGCTCAGGACCGTGCTTTATGGCGTTCCTTGGAGGAGGCCTATGTTCAGCAGTTGACTTGTGAAGGGCTGTAATGACGATGATGATGATCATTTTTATATTAATTACGACGCAGATCAACTCTTTGCTGGACAATATTTATTTAACTACATATTAATGCTTAAAACCTATGTGATATGAAAAGAGTGTGTATAAGCTCTACGTGGTAGAGCCATGCTCAGTATATAGAGTAAGGTAGCACGAAGGGTCGCTCGACCGGGGAAGGACCGCTCTCAAGATCCACGTGAAATAGTAGCTTAATGCTCTGTATCGTAGGAAGTTAGAGAACCGAGACCCTTTTTACTCAAAATGAGGCATCTTTATCGGGTGACAACGCATTATTTTGATTGTAATGGAAGAAGAGTAGATGTCTATGGGCCGCAGCAACACTTACCATAGGTGGACTGTGTGCTCGTTTGTCAGTAAAATAAGTGTAAATTGTTTTACTGCCCTTTTGAATATTCCCTCAAAATCACTCAACGGTTTCAACTTGTTAAGTAGACATTTAATTATTATATTTTTCAACCCTTTATATTTTTTTAATTAAAAAAAATATTCAAAATGGAATTTGAAACATACATACCGATTTATATACATATATAACTGTTGAGTTATTCCGGAAATGCGTTTTCATCTATCCACCCTAGACGGAGTTAATGACGAGAGTTTGGCCAAAGATCGACGAAAGGAAATCCATCCTTAAGACACTGAACACAAAAGGTAGACTTGAGGATACTGCTGACGATGTCGCGGCTATACTGACTTTATACACGCTCTTATTCGCTTTATCTGTATGGAAGTACAAATAAGTGTAATAAAATCTTAAAATTCAGTTTTCATACACTTCCGGACGTGTCAATAATCTGAAATTTTGCAAGTATTTTTTTGGTAATTAATAGAATCAGGCGTTACTTTAGTCACTTAGCGGTCAGCCACCGCAGAGTCTACATCACCTGAGGATGCCTTGTGTAGAGGCGAAACACGTGACGCATTATCGTCGATGGCGTGTCTTTTCTAGTGTAGTGGTGTTGGGAGTAGTGGTGCTAGGAATAGTTGGATTGGGAGTAGTGGTGCTGTGATTAGTAGTGTCGTCTTCAAACTAGGTAAGACACATCGTTTTTAGTATTTTTTTGAAAACTGAAGTGACACGAAATTACAGTCCACTTGATGGTAAGTGGCCATTGCAGTCCATAGACACATGTAGCCAACTTCAAATTAAGAAGATTAAGTATATTTGTTACATCCGATGACTAAGATAGAATGCCTCAAAACCTGTAATTATGCTGGCAGTCTAAACCCTTAACACAGCATAGCTTGAACTGCTATTCAGGTAGTAATATGGAATAAAGTCCATTTTAGGAACCGATGGTAATAAAATAATTTCAATTAGTATTCTCACTAGGATTAGATTCACCATTATCATTATCCCTTAGTATCAATTTATAGTAGTAACATCAAGTAAAGTATGTAGTAAAAACGCTATTGTATAATTTCAGGGTGTATTTAACAAGAAGGCTATATCGAAGTAACCAGAGATGTTATTAAATATATTAGTAAAGTTGTGTTCAAATTATAAAAGTAATTATTAATAATTAAATAATGTATTGTCATATCGTTTTTATTTGACGTCATTTCATTAAATAATTACTATTCTCACCAGAGCGTTGCGGGTCTCGTGGTGTGAAGCGTGACGAATTGCGGAATCATTAATGGCATTATAAGCGTGCTGTTTTTGTAAAATGTATTTGAAACTATTATGGGGAGTATACGAAACTATTTACTACTAAGCCTGTATAAATAAATAAAAGAATGATCGAGAAAAAGTAGAAAAGTTTTACTATGTGGTCACACTAACCGGTGCATTTCACTAGGATTAATATAATTTGACTATCTTAGTTAATAGGTTATCAATATATATTTGCAGTTTTCTAATATTTAAGAGAACATTTTCTAAAAGTAAAATGATTACTTAAATGATTTTTGTACCTGACTTAAAAATTAGTACCCATTGTTTTGGATTGAGGCGACGATAAGCGCTAGCAACTTTCGAATGGGTGGAGCATATTCACCCCAGTGGCGGCTCTGGCAAAATTTTTAGGTGGTGCGAGATCTCATAGTGGCGCCCCTCTAAATACAAAACCTTAGTGTTCCTATACTATGCAGTTGCTTTTTCGTGATTTTAAATAGTATTAGACCTATCAAATATATACAGGTGTATATACGGGGCAAGCACAGTTGTGTCTGTCGCTCTTGCCATAGAAGTTCTCCTGCTTATTCGCGTTAAAGAAATGTTGTTCTTCCACTGTCACCACTCTGTTGCGTTCGACAACGCCACTATGCTTGCCTTGCTGTGGTGTCTAGAGACTACAACTATAACAAGAGTTAATAATCTTGTTTGACAACTTTAATTTAAACTGTTGTTTTGCAGACAGAGTTAAAAAGATAAAAGAACTACCAACAACAAACTTAATGAAAAGCCTAGATGGCCAGCTTTCTGGCGTAAAGTAAAGTGTGGCCGTGGAAGGAAAAGGGGAGATCTCCCGCCGGGCAAGGTGTTCTGCCCGGGGAGCGGCCAGCACTCCGAGTGATAGTTCGGAGAAGTTCTATATGTACTGTCTAGGATTCAGAACGTTAATAGCGCGATTTAGGCTCGGTGTGTTTCCGCTAGCTTTAGTGTTTGTCAGCGCCGCTACATAAAGTTACATCAAAAGTCAAAGTTAATAATTCCAATATGATATTACAAAGTGTGTTTGTTGTGCGACATTCAGACACATCTACATATCCCAAAAAACGGTCATGAATATCATTTCCATAACAATATCGGAGAATCAGACATGTATGACAGCAGTATTCGTAAGGCTACGAGGTCGCACAGAGTGCGCGGGATATTTGAAACAGCTTGAAACAGTTTACGAGTTATTTTATTACTTAATATAATTGATTGATTCATCTTAATGAGGCAAGCCGGGCTTTTGGGCTTGTATAGAAGCTTCGCCACTGGTTTCACCACTATTTTCGAAAATCGAGTTTTCATCAGATTTCGACGTTTTGAGATCCCAGGAAGCTATTCTGACTAATTTCACGTGGACGTCCGTACGGATGTGTGAGTGTGTGTGTGAGTGTGTGTGTGGTTGTGTGTGTGTGTGTGTGTGTGTGTTTGTGTGTGTGTGTGTGTGTGTGTGTGTGTGTGTGTGTGTGTGTGTGTGTGTGCGTGCGTGCGCGCGCGTGTGTGTGTGTGTGTGTGTGTGTGTGTGTGTGTGTGTGTGTGTGTGTATGTGTTCACGGTATGTCAATAATGTCCACCCGAATGAAATCGTAAAA